CCATTCGGGCATCAAGCCCCCCTATAAAACTCAGAAACAACGATCAATGTGTGATATGTAATTCATATCATATTTGTAGTTTAACCGAATGGTGGGGGGGGGGATGTGTGCGAATGGTTAACGCGTGTGCGTTGGATCACAAGGTTTGTCATTGAGTCAAGTTGCGTGGTTTCGATTGCCCAGTTGTAAGTGACAAGGACTAAGGTCGCCTGTCTAATCTCGTGGGTTTTCTCCCACTGATGAAGACCCCTATGCGCAAGCGAATAAGCGAATTATTGAAATAAAATTGAACCACATCATCCAGGACTCGTCAATGATAACAACTCTTCCAGATCCTAGTGTAGTAAAGACAAGTAAAACGAAATTTTGAACTATAAAAACGGAACGAAATAGGATCTGTGTTTTAATCAGATTGTCTAATGTAGTACCATGGGTCTTTTGTCAGACGTACTAAAACCGGTCGCCACATCCTACGTATGACCCATGCATTCTTTTCTTACTACATATCTTGGTAGCCTTATGATCGTCTAGTATTTTTAATAGTCTTCTTTGGTTTCCTTTTCACGTTGTGTATTTTCTTCTTCTTATCTAAGTACATAGCTTAAACATGCATTATGCAAGAGCAAAATCTGCTTATTACAAGTCTTTCTTTAGGCTTGAAATGTTATCTAAATTATCAATTAGACATTAATTAACTTATCCAGACCATAATAAACTCTCGATGTCAAGGCTAGCCTTCGATGTTGGCTGGATTAGATTCATATATGCCGCTAACGGCCGTTGATAATTAAATCAATAAAACTGGATAATCGAGACTAAGCTGTTTATATTAATGATTTTAGTAATGATGACCGAGACTATGCCAAAATTTCACCCGCTTCTTTCTCGGCTCATAGTGGATCAATTTGACTGAAATTTTCAGCAAATTACCTTTACACTATCTAGTTTTTAACTATTATAGCGAGAACTGCCATCTCGTTATCTTATCTCCCATAATGTATCTTTAAGACGTTTGTCTACTCTGTAGTTAAGACGTTTGTCTTACCAGGAATAACAATGCAACAGTTCGTTTTTACATTTTATATATCAAACTGGATACATATGGTACAATGCATAATAGATTACAATAAAGTCATTCTCTCAAACCCAATCAACCCAGACTGGCTGGGGCGAGTCTGCTGATAGTAATTGCTACATCATATGGTCTATGAACTCAGATGGTAATCTCTCCGGAATGCAATGAAATCTGAACTAAAATGCTTGTCAGGATCTCTTTTATAGGACCCATATGGACATCACGCACAGATCAGGCTATTCATGACCCTGAATCTGTGCAATTACTGATATGATTGGTTACTTAAGTCAAAAGATGCATTTAGTAAATTTCCAATCACGTGTTAAACGTGATATTCTGATTCCGACGGAATTAGTTATGTTTACCAAATTATAACTCTTTTTATGTTTAAATCCGACACTTATTATTTGAGTGCATGATCACTTCTCTGCCAAAATAAAACCCAATAATTTGTTAAAGATACAATATAATCCTATAATTAATTTAAAGAGCAAAAATTCTGCCAATAGTCTTACACTAATACCATTTCTTCATTTATAGTCTAAAGTACTAAACAGCTAAAAAAAAAAAAAAAAAAAAAAACCCAAGTCAGTACGATTTCAAAATCTGAGAGGCACTTTAATCAAATCATTCTAGAAAACAACTTCCTAAATGGATCAAAGCAATTTTTTGTGAACAGTTTGTTGACACATTAGTGATTAATACATCACAATTCCAAGACATTACGAGAAGGTTTAGAGTCTGTACATAGTCTATACATCAGAATCTGGTGTGTTCACCGCGAGTGTCAATAACAGCAGCACAGCGTCTGTACATGGAGTGGACCAGACGATTGATGAACGCCATTGGCACCTGGAACCACGCTCTCAGAAAAGCCTAGCGCAATCCATCGGCTGTGTACGACGTTATTAAGTCTCCTCTGAAATTCATCCCAAAGATGTTCAATCGGGTTTAAGTCCGGACTAAGGGCTGGCCAGTGCATAACGTTGACAATCATGCTGGAAAGCGTTGTTTCGATGACGCGCGAAATGTGGTATGACGTGGGGTCTCAGAGCTTAGTCGATGTAGCGCACTGCTGTGATGCCGACCGCCTCCTCTACCTGGACCAAGATTTTGGAACACCACAGGACCCACTCTCTGGTTCAGGCCGATTCCACCCCAAACCCAGTGCCGGATTAACCTTGTGGGGGGCCCGGGACATACCAGCTGTGCGGGGGCCCCATTGTTGTTTGTTCAAATTGTTCGTACTGACCGCGGATCGTACTAGTATGTACTACGCAAACTTGAGTGCCTGGGATGTTTTCCTCCAGGATTTTTTTTTTTAAATTAGGATTAATTTCAGTGCATATGGGCCCCCGAAAATCTGTTGGTCTACCAGTTCGGGGGCGATCATCCGTGGTGTTGGTGGCCCGAAAGCGTTGCTGAAGCCTTTAGATGGTCCGAACATTGACCAGGAAGGGATTGGCAACGGCTTGGGCAGTGTGGCCAGCCCAGCGCCGAGTCTTCCAAGCGCCTGGTAACTCTGAGCTGTCGTGAGTCATGGCATGCCGCTGGCGTTGTAGTGTGAATGATTCAACCAGGTATGGGGTGCATTTTATAGGGCTGGTCCCGGTGAACAGCATGTGAAGCATGAGTTACATGAAAATCATGGAGAACACATTACCATCTCAGAAGTCAGGTTGCGTTTTTGAGAACATTTCCTGGGTTCAATTCTGTGTTTGGGAAGGAGTCTTTTTGCTCAGGTAAAATTGGAGATGTGGTCACAAATATACAATAAAAACATTTGGCAAGTTTTATGCAATGCGTCTATTCAGAGTAACATACCAACCTGACGTTCCTTTTGACGCTTAGTATATGACTCGATTGAAGAAAGCGTTTTCATCGTGAAACAAAACACGGGCCGCAACAGTGGATCTCGGGGTCAGGGATTTGAAGAAAATGCCGCAACTGGTCAAAGAGCAGATAAGCGAGTATGCTGAGATTAGATTCAAATATAGCAGTGACTCGACGACCGGAAAGGAATATCACTTGTTCGACCGAATCACAACATGGTCCGAGAAGAAAATATAACACATGTATACTCTGATCTGAGAGAGAGAGAGAGAGAGAGAGAGAGAGAGAGAGAGAGAAATGGGTTTTAACGTCCACTCGACACAAACTAGGTCATTTCGGGACTAACATATGGTTTAATTTTATTTCAATAATTCGCTTGCCCATAGGGGTCTTTAGCAGTGGGAGGAAACCGGAGGACCCGGAGAAAACCCACGAGGTTGGACAGACGACCCTACTCCTTGTCACGTACAACCGGGGATTCGAAACCACGCCAGTCGACTCAATGATACTCTGATCTGATCCGTACGTTATAAGTAGAATATACTGTGTATTTATATATTTTTAGAAAGTTTTTCTGATTGATTATTAAGAATCTGATTAAAACACAGATCCTATTTCGTTTCGTTTTTTATAGTTCAAAATTTCGTTTTATTTGTCTGTAATACAGCTTCATGTAGTGTAGGCCATTGAAAGTATAAAAAAAAACGAAACGAAATAGGATCTGTGTTTTAATCAGATTGGATTATTATTGCAGGTCTTTTTTTAGGCCTGAAATGTTATCTAAATTATTAATTAGACATTAATTAACTTATCCAGACCATAATCAACTTTTGATGTCATCGCTAGCCTGCGATATTTACTGGATTATGATCCGATTTGCTACTCAACTTTCATTCGTGATTTAATCATGAAATGGATAATTGAGACTATGTTTTTTTTATCGGTTCGGGGTGGATCAATTTGACTGAAATTTTCAGCAAATTCCCTTTACATTATCTAATTTTTAACTATTATAGTGAGAACTGCCAGCTCTTTATCTAATCTCCCATTAAACGTTTTTTTTCCTGTACTACCGTGTAATTACATGCCTTGTATATAATAACGACGGATGTGGTGAGTGTAGGAAAGGCGTGTCACAGGTCAAAAATATTATACACCTTGATGCTTGAAGGCCCTAGGCTTCCGCCTGCCAAGCCTACAGGTAGATCTCGCACCACATAGTTCCGCTGTCCGGGCAAAATTATCTTTTCTCGCATGTCACTCGTCACCATAGAAATCAAACAGACGAAATGTTTTTACAATAGAGTCCTTAAAGTTACAATTTCATATTTTCTAAGAAAGTCAAAACATAATTATTTCTATGTCTTTTGCTCAATAGGTTGTCAACTCATTATTATACGATCATAGGTGTCATTCTCACACTTAAAACTCATTTACACCGGAACTAATAACACAATTACCTCCCAATTACCTCCCTTGTTTTCTATTCTCCGCCATGGAGTAGTTATCTTCAAACGTTTGAATTTGAAGATGAAAATAATATTTTTGCCAATTTCTCAACTGGCAATAGTTGATTATAGGATTAATAGGATTATTCTTTAACAAGGTAGGACTGTTAATAGATACCATCTATTTTAAGGCTTTATTTTAATAAATTTTAAAAATATAACTTAAAAATATGAAATTTATTTATCTGTGAGAGCCGAAAGGAAATGTGGTCTGAGGTCTGTGTTGCATTTTGGAGTTGCGTCCCTTTAATCACTAACTAATCATGGCTACTCGGTTAGATCTATTTTTTAAGGCCAACTCAATTTTCGTTAACGTCACTAAGATGTAAATACGGTAGGGCACGTGATTATTGGCGAGATTGTAGGTTAGGTTTAGCCTAAGCGTTAGGGCTAGGTCTAGGTCCAGGGTTAGGGTTAGGGTTGGGATTAGCGCTAACCCTGTTTACATCTCGTGACCTTTGTTTGACCAAACTTCAAGTTGGCCTTTTCAAATAGTTCTAACCCATAATCATTCCTGTCGGAGTTGAACAACTGTTGCGTCCTGGTGAAAGAGACTATTTGTTGGGGGAAACCCTACAAGGATCCTTTAGTATCACCTGTTACATGTCTTAATTGACTGCACGTAAACAATTTACTCCTTACGGATACGAAAGAAAACAGGAAATAGCCTATATAACGTACTTTAAAAGGCTATAACGCCATAATGACAATTAACTCGCTTGCCATGAATGATGATTAATTAATGAATACCGGTACAGATAAAGATTGTGAATCACATTCCGGTCGGGCCTTTCATTTGTACAAAGGTCAGGTCAAATTGAAGGCTGACAGTCTTGAGTATACTATTAGATAATATGACTTTATGAAACGAAAAACATCTCGACAAATCAAACGCAATATATCGATCTAGTTAACTGTGTCAGTTTTGTTATTTAGCGTTACACTCAGCCAGCTGTTATTGACTCAATATCAAAAGTCAAAGGGTCTATTATTGTTGTTGTTTTATTGACGATGCGAGGCCTGTGAATTTGATGCTTTAGTGATAGTAGCCTAATATTTGGGGTACCGGTAACTAAAAAAGATGGAGTTAACAGCTACAGATTCGTCTGCCAGTAATGGTAGGATAACAATAGCACAGGTTTGTCCTTTATTAGATTTTACTTATTTTAAGATCAATGACCTTAATACGGTTGATTATTGAATTTTCCCTTGTGGTGGACAATGTTAAAGGGACTATCCCGATTTGAACAGAGTCTCAAAAATAAAAGTCTGAGTACGTATGAAATTTAAACGCCAAATTATAGAGGAATGGTGTATTTACCTTGTCTCAAACTTTCAGCTCAAAATATTGAGTTGTTTGGACATGAATGTCAAAACTGCTTATCCGGACACGTAAACCCTTTTAAGATTTCGGGTCAAATTTTTCATTGAGTGACCTGATAATCGATTCCCGTTCCTGTAGGGGTCTATACAATGAATGACCCATGAGCTGTACTTGATAACGAAAGGTAAATTTCACCTACACATTATTTTTATAAAATAAAAGTCTGGTTTTATCCAGACACCGCACTATACAGGGTGGGACACCATTTTCTATTTCCAGATGAAGGCTGACGGGTTTAAGTTGTTCGAAAACGCATCACATAGCTTGAGTTAGTTGCTCGGTCCTAAGGTAGGGGATTTTAACACAAAATTAAGCAGCTGTTTTATTCTCCAAAATATTATCGGGATTGGCCCTTTAAATGAAATGAAAATGAGAATTTAACATCTGATTTATCTAATCAATGCTGTGTACTATGTATGAGAGAAATTTAACCCAGGCAGCACTGGCTGCTACGTCCTACTTTTAAAAGTAAACGTGAATCTTCAATAAAATGTTACTTAACATTGAAAGGATAAAAGCGAATGGTTAAAGAGAAATAATGTTCACATACTGACACAAACTAGGTCATTTTGGGACTAACATATGGTTCAACTTTATTTCGGGACTAACTTATGGTTCAACTATATTTCAATAATTTGCTTCTACACAATTATGGTCTTTAACTGTGGGAGGAAGTAATAGACAGTCCATGTACAAGCATATACGATTGAAACCATGACCATGCCACTTAACTCTGACCCGCATGATCTGCAGTGCTTTACAAAGAGTGATCTAGCTGCCTAACTTATTAGGAGGGGAGGGGGGTTGCTGTATGGTTTAAAGTATGTGCTTTAGATTTTAAGGTCTGCCACTTGAGTCAAGTGCCGTGGTTTCAATTCTCGCTTGTATGTGACAAGTAGCGTCCCCATTCTCTCACTCTATAGAGATAAAATAACTGCCTGTCTGTCTCCCCATGTACCTCTCTCCCTCTCCATCTTTCTTTAAGATCGGGGGTCACGGTGGCTAGGTGGGTAAGTCGCTGGCTCGCTAGCCGGTAGGTCGGGTGTACCACTGCATTGGCCGAGAAAGTTCATCAAGATTTTCCAGCGTGGTTCACCCTTGTCAGTGATGTAGGACGGAGGGCCTGACAAGGACAGCTGTCTAGTCATTAGGATGAGACGAAAAACCGAGGTCCTGTGTACACATTGGCATGCACGTAAAAGATCCCTTGACAGTTGGAATTCGATTTTAGACTAGGCCGTTGTGCCGCTGTCCGGGCAAAATTTCCCTCATAGCACACTGTATGGCGTATGCCCGTCTTCATTAGCCCAATTCGGAGCAAAATTTAACAGTAGGACGTTAAACCCCATTTCATTTCAGTTGTCTTTAAGATCCTGACATAAGCTCTCTCTCTCTCTCTCTCTTTCTCATTTTAGTTGACATATGTTAACTAATATGTTAAAATAAAAAAAAATGCAAACATACATTTTATAGTATAGGACGGACATTAAAGATACATTATGGGAGGGGGGGTTGGATGGCTGAATGGTTAGCGTGCGCGCGCTGTATCATAAAGTCTGTCATTGAGTCGACTGGCGTGGTTTCGAATCCCCAGTTGTACATGACAAGGAGTAGGGTCGCCTGTCCAACCTCGTGGGTTTTCTCCGGGTTCTCCGGTTTCCTCCCACTGCTAAAGACCCCTATGTGCAAGCGAATTATTGAAATAGAATTAAACAATATGTTAGTCCCGAAATGACCTAGTTTGTGTCGAGTGGACGTTAAACCCCATTTCTCTCTCTCATATTATGGGAGATTTTAATAGAGAGTTGGCCATTCTTGCTATAACATTCAAAAATATATGATGTAAGAAGAATATATTGAAAATTTCAGTCAAATTACTTTATTCTGAACAAAGTTATCACTATTGTAATTTTTGACTAGAAATAGGAGTCAACTCTCTCTTCACCGTCTCCGAGAATAGACAATCGTTTGATTGACAGGCGTTAACTCCGGCTTCATAACCTCGATTATCAAGTAACGTTTTCAATGGCTGTGGTTTGAGACGGGGTTGCAATTCAAATCGTATCACATTTATTTTTACTACAAATTAAAAAAATAACACTTTTAATATATATAGATAAGAAGCGAAAGTTTGAAAGGAATGGACCAAATCAATGAGGCATAATTATAGCCGACTTCTTGTTAGCCTGCGTGTACTCTTGTACTGTAACTGGTAGGCCTACGTAACTCCCGAACAGTGATCCAATGGAGCTGCAATTCAACTGGGGTGATGTTAGCTGCGATGTTTATCAATTTCTATAATTTTTCTGTAAACGCAAGTTATAAAAGAGCGTATAATACCGACATCCAAACTCTCATTTTAACCACAACTAAACATAATATCAAGGCCGTATATCGAACTTTCAATCAAATTGACTGACATGCGGCCTCGCTCAACAGCGGCCTCGCTTCGTACAATCTATCATTTAGCCTCGATCTAAAATTATTTCCGGGAGTATGACGTCAACGTAACGGCTAATCTCCGCCTACGACGCCATTTAAAAATTTAATCAATCAGCGAAATCCTGTTTAAATCCAAGCCGAATCCAAGCCATCCGTGGGTCTACAGAGTTGATTTTGTGCTTGTTGTGTAAATAAAGATCTAATTTATAATTTCTATGACATCTGAAGCCTAAATAAAGACTTGCAATAATCAGATTTAGCTCATGCATAATGTATGTTTAAATGAATGTAATAAAGCTCTCATATGTACCAACTTTATAGATACACTATGTAATATTTAGATAAAGACCTTGACAATGTCGCTATAATGTTCCAAAAATAGATAATGCAGAATAAATATATTGAAAATTTCATTCAAATTACTTTATTTTGAGCAAAGTTATCAATGGTTGTAGTTTTCACAAGATGTGTGTATCTGTAGGAATTCCTGTCAGGAATTTTGGTCATGTCATATAACTTTTCTAATTCTTAGACTATGTGATGTGATGTGATTCTCGTCAGGTTGAAAACTACAAGCCTAGTATACATGTTGCCATCCCAGGATGTAAATGATTCAAACCATACGTACAGGAATTGGAAGTAGTAAGGAGACTATTTCCTTTGGTATAGTCAAATAGATCTCACTTCCTCCATAAACCAGTGGAGGAAATCTTTTATCTTTCATATTATTTCTTGGTTCAGATTTTAGTTTTTTTTACCATATTCTACACAACTTTAAACGCGAATAATTCTGTGTATGAGACGGGGGACATAATAACATGTATCATTTGGGAAGTTCACATAATATTCTTTCTAGAAGATCTGATACCATTTCTCATTTGATGAGTTCACATAGTGTGCTTACTCTTTCTAGAAGATCTGATGCCACTTCTTACTGGACGTGAAAAATTCTGTGTATGAGACAAGGAGTGTCTTCTCTTTCTGTAACATTTGTTAACATGTATCATTTGAGGAGTTCATATTGTATTCTTTGTAGAACACCTGGTACCATTTCTCAATCGAGAAGTTCACATAGTTATGTTTACACTTTATAGAACACCCGATACCACTTATCATCTGAGGAGTTCACATAGTATGTTTACTCTTTCTAGAACATCTGGTACCATTTCTCATTCGAGAAGTTCACATAGTATGATTACTCTTTCTAGAACATCTGGTACCATTTCTACATATGATGAGTTCACATAGTATGTTTACTCTTTCTAGAACATCTGGTACCATTTCTCATTCGAGAAGTTCACATAGTATGTTTACTCTTTCTGTATCATTTGTTAACATGTATCATTTGGGGAGTTCACATAGTATGTTTACTCTTTATAGAACACCTCATACCATTGGAGAAGTTCACATAGTATTCTTTGTAGAACATATCATACCATTTCACATTCGAGAAGTTCACATAGCATGTTTCCTCTTTCTAGAACACCTGATACCAATACCATTTCTCATTGGACGAGTTCACATAGTAAGTTAACTCTTTATAGAACACCCAATACCACTTATCATTTGAGGAGTTAACATAGTACATTTGATCCCATTTCTCATTTGAGGAGTTGACAAAGATAATAAATTTTGTTGTTGAGCACTTTTATTGGTTCTGTTGGTGTGATAAATTAAAGCTACACATAACTGGGTGTTTGAGGTTTGTCGTTGCATTTTAGATTATATTTTAGTCCCAAAATGACCTAGTTTGTGTTGAGTGGACGATGAACCTGATTTCAATGTTCCTTTGAACTCTTACTGCTTGTTGTTGTTCTTAGTGTTTAACGTGCGCTTCCACCAAAGGTGATATCGCAGACAAGAACTTGTACTGCTACCTAAATACAGTATACGCTTGCCATGGTAATGTGTTAAACATCTAAAACAGTGTTTCTTTCTGCGTGTAGCCCCTGGGGGTATGAAGAATGAAAGCGGGGGGGGGGGGGGGGGGGGGGTACGAGATATGGTGTCAAATTCAATACTGTATAGATGAGAGAGAGAGAGAGAGAGAGAGAGAGAGAGAGAAAATGAAATGGGGTTTAAGTCCAATTGACACAAACTAGGTCATTTCGGAACCAACACATGGTTCAGTTGTATTTCAATAATTCGTTTGTGTGTGTAGGGTCCTTTAGCAGTGGGAGGAAACCGAAGGACCCGGAGAAAACCCACGAGGTTAGACAGACGACCCTACTCCTTGTCACGTACAAGTAGGGAATCGAAACCAGTTGACTCAATGACAGACCTTACGATTGAACGGACATGTGCTAACCAAT